CATATTAAGAATAAGAGGATTAGCCATATAAGAAACGAAAAAAAATATGAGCATCAACGAAAATCTCGATCATCGAATGACTCCTCAAATGTGGATAGGTGATCGAGATTTTCGGTAATAGTAGCAGTGTCGCATGAGTTATGGTTATGGTTGAAGAGTGAAGAGTGAGAACAGAACAAAGGAAAAAGGGGAACAGGCGAGAAAGCATGGGAACCCAGGAAATATTGAGACCCAATATTAGTCTCTCAAATACAGCACGAAACTCCTTTTGATTAGCTTCCGAGTAAGTAAGAGAGAAGACAAACCTTAATAAATAAATCGAAAAGAGAGAAGGCAAACATTACATTTTACATTTTATATTTACAAATTGCTCATATAATCAAACTTGGTACTTGTAATTGCACTTTGTTCCTCCAATTACGCAAAACTGTTCGCCAATCAATTGCCTCCCCCGACAATTCTTCTTCGTGTATATATATATGAATATGTTGTCTGTGTGAAGTGTTTTTTAGGTTGCAGCTCTACTCTGGGTACTTTTTTATGTGTGTTTTTCTTTTTTGACTCTACTAATTTTTGGGACTGGACTCTTTTAGGCTGTTCAATCCGGTCTATTTTGAATTTTTTTAAATTTAACTGGATGATTTAAATCGTTCAATATGAAGTCTTTTGGGAAGTTGATAAAAAATCAACTTTCAATCACTTCTTACATAACTTATCCATAAAAAGATAAAATAAGTTAAAAAAGTTAAAAAGTCAACTTTTTACCAACTTTCCAAAACACCCATTAAGTATTTTATATTTAACAAAATATTATATTGATCGGATATTAATAGTTATTTGATCAGATCTTATTTGTGTAAATAATTTATTTTTAAAATAATACTTACCGTTGACACAAATTTGAACGAATCAAGTGGCTATCGATATCCTATCAATATAAATTTTTTTTATAGGGACGAAATACTCAACGACTTTTACTTATTAACGATTCGGATCATCGATGCGGATTTTGTGATGAGTCCATGAAGCCCAATAACATGCTTCAATTCGATTTCGAATTGGAGATAAACGTGACCTTAATGTTAGAAATCTCAAGTGAATAATTAAATATTTTACACAATATTTATATAGATGTGGATCCATGTGAGCTAGGTTATGTGAATATTATATAGAATTTTTGATAAAATTAGGGAGGACATCGGCCCGTTGGTCTGTCTATGCCGCCAAGCTCAATCCAATTTTTATAAGATTTGGAAAGGTTGTTTTAACTCATAAGTCTGGATTGGATAAACATTTATGAAATATTAATAGGGCGGATTTAGGATTTATATTTTCAATCTAGCCTGGCCTGGCCCATTATTAAATTGTTTATTTATTTATAATAAATTTATTTTATTTTATTTTTTTTGGTTAGGATCTAAAATTTATTTTTATTGATTTTATTGAAACTCAAATTTGTAGTGATATGTGATTAAATTTATTTAAGAAAATTTTCAATTTGTACACAAAATCTTTCAATTTATAATGATGTTAATATATTTATTTAATAAATATAATGTGTGATTGAATTTAATTATGAAATATTTTATTTTTTTTAACATATAACCTAATGGGCGGGTTTTGAATTTATAATTATTTTTTGAAACAAATATAAAGACCTAATATTAAGACTGAACCAAACTTAAACAAACATAAAATCTCTTATTATGTAGGGTTATTTTGGAAAGATGGTTAAAAACGATCTTTTAACTTTTAACCTATTTTGAGTCAGATCATCTCTCAAATTTTTTATACATTTTAAAAAATTAAAAAATTAATTTTTAACCATCTTACGATCTTTTAACTTTTAACCTATTTTGAGTCAGATCACCTCTCAAATTTTTTATACATTTTAAAAAATTAATTTTTAATCATCTTCTCAAAACAACCTGTAATATCGACCCAACCCGAATCGGTCAGATCCAACATTTATCCACCCTATTATTAGAGGTGGTTTGAAATATTTTAAATAAGTATATTTTTTTGACATTTTATAAAATAATATGTAAAATAATAAAAAAAATATATTAATTAATGTAACCTAAAAAAAATAAAAAATATATGTTATTTTGGGAATTTTGGGATGCCAACGTTTAATTAGTGTGTGTGCGCCCTTTTATCTTTTTGAAAAGCACGTGTACTACGGAGGTCCCCCACCCTGACCAATAATAATAATAAATACTTAGGCCCACAGCAAAAAAAAAAAGTGAAATTAATTTTAAGGATATATTTGATACAATAATATTAGGTAACTCAAAATTTTGTAATTTAAATGGCTCAAATCACTAAAAATAATTTTGTTTTGACAGATTTAAATCATTTGAGCCATAAAATTTTGAATTACCAAATATTTTCCTATTTGATAACGTTTATATTTATTATTTTTGTTTATATTTATAGAATTTTTTAAAATTATAAATAAAAAGTTGGTTTCCTTTTGTGGTGGTGTTTGGCAACTTAGTTTAAGGTTAAAATAGTTAATAAAAATAAAATAAATTAAAATAATTAATAGGATAAAATATTATATTCAAATCATAATCATTTTATTTTTTCTCTTACAACCATCAAATCAATTATTATCTCAAACATAACTTTTTTAGCCACGCTAAAACAGTCAAAAAACTAACTAAAATAGCCAACTTTTCAAATCAACCCCCTGTTAATTTTTTTTTTTTCATTTCTTCTTGTTGTTATTTCTTCTACTCATTCTGACTACCATTCATTGCTCTCCAGTCTCGATCTACACTGTTTCTATCTCAATTTTATTTATGAAAAATGCGTGAGAGCTCGAATGTCCCGAATGTCAAAATGACGTCGTTTTGGCATTCTCACCGGTAAGAGAATGACTCAGACCTGGTACGGAAAAATTATCTTACCGATAAGAGAATAAATCTTACCGCTAAGATAAAAAAAAAAATCCCAAAACGACGTCATTTTGGGATTTCGGGCCATTCGAACCGTTGATAATTCGAGGTACGTAGCGGAGTTGTTTATTTATTAAATATATTTATATATATAATATGTATATAATTTAATTTTTTTAATATAAGAAAACTAAAATATTAAATATTATACTTAATATTGACTTTCAATAATTTATTTATCATATTACATCTTTTAACTCTCATCAATTATAAATTAGGATAAATTAAAAATATATCCCTTGAGGTTTGCTTAAAATATAAATTACCCCCTGTAGTTTGAAAAATTACGAATACTCCCTTATTAGAATTTTTTATTTAACAGAATTAACTAAAAAAAATAAAATTCATAATTGTTCTTCTATAAAATAATAAAATTACCTAAATTATTTATTGAAACATATTTTTAATATCATTAAAAATTGTTAATTGGCTTGATAATTTAGTAATAAAATGAGCGATTTATTATGAAATTAGATATAATTTTCAAAATCACAGGGGAATGTTCGTATTTTAATCAAATTTCAGGAAGTATATTTGTAATTTACCCTATAAATTATTATCTATAATATACTATATCAATTTTATTTTTATTTTTTAAAGCAACAAAGTTAAGCCGTCCTTACCATATTCTCACCCCGTCCCAATATGATATAAAATGGGATGAAAGATAGCAAATTAGCTTAAAACCCGCCCAGTGCCATCTTTACTCATTGCTATCGGCTACCAGCACCAATGACCTCCTCCGTCAACTACTTTCGACCACCACCTCCCACAACGGCTAACCACCGGCCATTGCTACCAACCACCTCTCACTAGCAGTAATCACCACTGGCCATCACTTTTTTCTTGAAAACCCCTTTAGGCGACGAACCAATCACCATCTCCGATCATTGACAATTACTTTCGACCAATACTTTTTGTGGCAAAAAAATCACCTCTAGTCTTTGACAACTACCTCTTACCAGTGGTAACAATTTCCACCACTACCCCCCTCATGGCCAACTACCACCTCCGGCCACCATTTTTAACCGTCGACAATCACCTCTCAAACCCCTCATTTTCACTTGTTTTCAAAACAAAATTTTAAAATACTTGTGTACTATGTTTGGGGGCTTACCTTTTTAGCCAAAAAGTAAAAAAGTTACCTTTTTAGCCAAAAAGCCAACAACTTATACCAAAAAGTCAAGGATTCTCTTTTCTCTCTACTTTTTGCACATCTTTTTGTAATTAGCCAAAAAGTCATCCCAAACATATAAATTTTTTTTACCTACTTTTTTAGCCAAATAGCCAAAAAGTTACTAAATTAACTTATTCCCAAACGAGGCCTAAACATACTTTTTATTTTCATTTTTATCCAAAATAAATATGAACATGTTTTTTTATAAGCAAAAGACAGTCTATAAACGTTGTTAAACAGCAACTGAGTGTCCATAGATATTATTTAATGTGTAAAAAAAATTAAATTGATTCAATAAATATAAACTCTTCATTTTATCTCATTAGAAAAGAATAATCTATTTTAAAAGACACATTTATTGCTTATTATTATTATTATTTAAGATAAATGCTTTTCTCCAATACCATTCATTCTAAAGAGGAAAGAAACACAACCCTAATATTTTATGGTTTTGGTATTTTCACTCAAATTCGAATAAAATTGCCAAAATAACATATTGTTTTTAATTTTAAATTTCAATCTTACAGGGAATGCACTAGAGGATCAGAATTCAATAGGTTTCTATCTTAAAATTTTTTTTTTTTTTTTTTTTTTTTTAGAGTATATAATATTTGTTGAATACGAATTTGTGATTATGGGGTGGCGGATTTGGTTCCAATTTTTCACCCAAAATCACAAATTTTTATATTTTTCATATTTTTAATTAATTAACACAAAATTATAAATCAAATTTTTTTTTTTTACGAATCACAACATCCTTTGACGCCAAGTTGCCAACCAACGGTATCCGAGGAACAACTAATAACTTCTCCCACACCAGTGTGTTCACATAGGACTTCATACACACACAGACTTCCACTCGTCTATTCCATCTATACACACAAAAACACAAACACAGACATACAGTCGGCAGCAGCACATTAATGTTACCTCAGTGCTTTTGTGGGCATTGCATTCCAATTCCTTTTTCTTTCCAGATATAATAACTAATGACTAGTAAAGTATAACCCCTCACCCAACAACACCCATCATTATTACCCACCTCCTCCTCACTCTCCTATCACATCACCCCAACCAAACCAGACCAAACCAAAATCCAAAGAAAAAGCCTTCACTCTCTTTCTTTCACTTTGTGTGCCTCTGCTCTGTAATAAAGTTAAGAGTGAGTGAGTGAGGGAGAGTAACCAAAAAAAAACCCCATTTGTGCCTGCCTGAGATTATGGCTGAAACCCCGGAACCGGTGCCGGAGGCGGAAATAGGGTCGGAGACAAAGAGGATCGTCAACCCGAGAGCTGAAATAGACACTTCACCCCCTTTCGGGTCGGTTAAAGAGGCCGTGACTCGTTTTGGTGGCAGTGGCTCTTGGATCCCCCTTCACCTCCTCCGACTTGCTGCTGCTCATGTATGTGTATGAGTTTATGTTTATTTATTAGTATTTTTGTTTTTTTAAATATAAAAAACTGATACTGTTGTTGTTTACTATTTCAGCTTGTAATTTGTAAGATGGACTTATATTGTTATTTGGATGTTCATTTTTTAAATGAGTTTGTTATGTGAGAGATTAATCTGTAATTCTGTGTTAACTAACTACTATGGTTAACTTTGTTCTCATACTGGGTCATGAATACTTGGAATTGTAATTTTTTTGCATTTTATCTCTAGTTTGAATGCTCAAGTTAAATTTTAGAAATTGGGAATTGGTTATTATTACATCAAATTTTTATTTTTATTTTTTTATTTGGGTAATTAAAGAAAGAGGTGACGCAGTCTCCGCCAGACCCCAGCCCCGGCTAAGACATTGCTTGAGGCAACGTTTAAGGGCGCCACACCGAGGGGCGACAGAGAGTTGAACCCGGGTTGAAAGCATTTTTGGGCTGACCCTTTCCGTTAAACCTACCCCCCAGGGGCTTACATGATCCTTTTGCAAAGAGTATAGGCATGTAAAAATTGAACTATTTTCTTACTATTTTGTTGTAGAACTAGGATTTTCTTTTTTAGGCAGTGTTTGGTTTATAGATTTGGAAAATGGATTTTGAAAAGGAAAGAGAAAAAGTGTGTGAAATTTAGGCTAAATGTAGTTATATTTCATTCATTAATAAACGTTCCCTTTAGCAATTAGCACCTTTGGTGATTCCACAATGAGTTCATATACTTCCCTTTACCACCTTCGGTGATATATGATTAGCTGTTTCATTATCTTATGCATTCTTATTAATTCTACAAGAATTATGTTGACAGACTGATAATGAAGCGATTGTTTCTTTGCATTTACATTTAATTGATAATAACTTTATGATGAGCAGCATGGTTTTGAGGAGTTTGAGTTGGACAAAGTGGAGGAACAAGCAGCAGAGTTGGAGAAGGATCTTCTTGTGAAAGAACGACAAACACTTCGTGTCTTGAAAGAACTTGAAGATGCAAAAAAACTTGTACAAGGGTTAAAAATGAAGTTTGTGAAAGATGTGTCGGAATGCATGGCGACGCCTGAGTTAAATTCATTGCGAAGTTTGAGCCTGTGCCCTGATCAGTCTCCCGCTTTGATCTTAACAGAGTTGAATCAAACAAAATTGAACTTGAATAAAACTACCACTGATCTTTCTGCAATTCGAGCGTATGTTGAGTCTTTGAATAACAAAATGAAAAAACAGATAATTTCCCAGGAGAAGCCAGCTGAGAGGGATATGCCAAATCCTGTAGGGGCATTGCCTATTGAAGAGAAGATTGATAGGGCAAGAGGGTTAGCCAATGATGCAGAAATTCAAGGTGATCCCAAGAATTCAACAAACATTTCAATGCATCTCCAGGAATTGAACTTTGAGGCCGTGCAGTTTAAGAAAATAGCAGAAGCTGCAAAATACGAGGTTATTAAGGCAATGTCAGAGATTGAACAAACAAAGACAAGTATTAATGTGGTTGAGATGAGACTAATTGCAGCAAGAAAAATGGAGGAGGCAGCGAGAGCTGTTGAAGCTGTTGCTTTTGCTGAAATGAAGGCTCGATCAAGCAGTGAGTGTTCATCAGAGGCAAGAAAGCCCCAGGGGGTAACTCTTTCCTTTGAAGAGTATTCTTCTCTTACCCAAAAAGCTCATATATTTGAGGAGTTGTCAAATAGGAGAGCTAGAAATGCCATGTATCATAATATTGATGAAGCGAATGTATCTGAAGTCTCGATTCTAAAGAAAGAAGTTCAACATGGTAAAAAGTCCGAAGAGGCCTTCTTTGGGGGAACACCAGAGCATAGTGAAATGAGATGCTCGGGACATAACTCTGTGTTTAAATCCCAGTCGCTTGATGGAAATGAATCCAAACCGATCAACGAAAAACCCGTCCCTGTTTTAAGGTCATCGATTTCAATTGGGGATGTGTTGAGCAGGAAGTTGATTTTGCAAGATGATTTTGTTGTGGGAAGGCATGTGGAAGGCCACAATGAAAGACAACAGGTGTCTTTAAGTCAAATGCTTCGTGAACAAAGCGGGCTTATATCACGACAATCTAAAAAGGGTGTGAAAGATGGGATTGTTCACAAGCAATTCTTTTCTCAAAGGAAGAAGTTTGGATTCATCGATATATCGCTCCCCTTAAAGAAGCAAAGCAAGAAAAAGACACAGGCTTCAAATCTGAGGTGAAGTGGCTTGACAGAGGAATAGTTGTGAGTTGACATTTTCCTTTTCTATTTACTCATTTGTTGTGTTGTGTTGTGTTGTGTTGAGTTTGCTTGTGGTGTTGATGGCTTGAGATTTGGTTTTCAAATGTTTTTTTTTTAAATTTGTTTTTTTTTTTTTTTCTTTTTTTTTTTAGTGTAATGGGATTATGTGATTTACTGATTGATATATTATACTAATTCTGCAACAATAAGAAAGATGTCATGCAATTTGCACTTTACAAGTACAATTCATTAAACAAAATGATGAATCATACACTTTGAAGCAAGATAATTGTAGAAAGAGTGAAGCAGCATTCCTCAAATGAAAATTGATTGTATTGTTGAAATATGTGTGAAAATAGAGTTTTACATCGGATAAAAAGTAAAAAGAGATGAGTCTTAGGTTTAGTTAAAAAGCTAAAAAGTTGTTAAAAAATCAAAAAGTCTATAACATATACTAAAAAGTCGAAGATTTCTTTTTCTCTCTACTTTTTTAGCACATCTTTTCGTAAAAAATCAAAAAATCATTCCAAGCATACTAGTTATTTTTATCTCATATTTTAGCCAAAAAATAAAAAAGTTACTAAAATAGTCTATTCTCAAACGAGGCCTTAATATACTTTCGATGAGCTCTCCACTTAGAGTTAGAGGCTTAAACTTTTAAGTGAGTATGAGTTTCAAATAATGTATGTTGGGCCTTGATATGACATTTGTGGACTCTAGAGTTTCTCTCTAATGGATTGGGTTGGTATTGCTATGCGCTTGTGGGCTTCCTAATTCCATAACAACTGGTATCAGAATCAGTGACAGACGATCTATGAGCAGACTCTCCTGAAGCATTGATGTTGGTGGGCTTGAGCTTGCACAAAAACTCTTGATAGAGTAAGAAAAATTCATGATAACTCTTGGTGGAGTAAAGAAAAATTCTTGGTGCACGTGGTAATGTTGGATCATGACAATGTGGTTCTCAATGGAATATTAAGTCTTAATATATATTAGATGGACTCTCCACATAGAGGCTTACCTTTTTAAGTGGGTATGAGTCTCAAATAATGTGTGTTAGGATTTGATATATGACATTTGTGAATTCTAGAGTTTCTCCTTAATAGATTGGGTTGGTATTGTTGTGCACTTGTGAACTCTCTAATTCCTTGACATGTATGAGGAAATAATGTTATTGTAGCATGATATGAGTACATATCGAAATTATTTTTTATTCTTGTTACAAATACTATTCACCATGTTTGTTTTCAGTTTTTTGAAAATACTTTTCGAAAAATTAGACTTTCTTGTTTTTCATAATTTTTTTATTTTTACTGAATTTTTTTAATATTTTAAGCAATTTTTTTAATTTTTAGACAAACCTAACATAAATACACTTAAAAAATATCATTTTCGTGAATTTTTTTTAAAAAAATTTACTAAATACCAAAAATATAATAAAAATATATAAAAATTCAATATATTTTTCATATTTTTGTATATTTATTAATTTTTTAAAATATTTTTTTACAAATATTTTACTTTTTAGATACATTTAAGTAAAAGGGGGTTTTTTTTTAAGGTCTCTCGTATTAAGATTTTATAGCATAAAAGACATCTAATATTTTCATAATGTCTATGGTCCTTCAAGTTGATCCAGAGAAAATTAGTTCAGAGAAAATTAGTCCAGAGAAAATTCACGTCACAGATAAAAGAATTTCTCTGGACTTTTCAAATTTCGCTGACTTTCCTTAAACTTCTCACTATAAATTTCTCTGCCCTCCCCTTCTCTAAATTTCTCTGCCTTCCATATACTTCCCACTCACCTAGAGCAATTTCTCTGTCTTTTCACAAAATTACATCTCCAAAAAAATTTGTAATTAATTCTCTGATTTATATATATAGCGTTGTTGTTGGTGACAAAATCAAGAGAAAAGGAAAGGGCACATATTTCAGACCCCTAAACTGCAGTTGTGCAACAACTAAGAGAATTAAGATGAACCTGTCACCCCAGGGAAGAGTTCTGATATTTTATTGAAAACATCCATAACCTGCGACGATGACAAATAAGCAGAGTATGAAGTACCGTCAAATTCCATAAAACATCACTAATGCTATGTTTGTATGTTTGTTTCAATGGAAACCAGTTTCAACCAAAAAATAAATAATCCCAGAAAACATTTTCCTACGTTGTGTCCTTGAAACTAATGTACTAATTGTTGTATTAGTGGTGGCAGCGGCAGTGGGATGGAGGTGGGGCGGTAGTGGTAGTGGAGCTGGTGGTGACAATGATAGTGTGGTGGCATTGGTAAGAGTTTAGTTTGGAAAATATTTTCTACCCAAATAAGCTTGTTTTCCGTCGTTGACCAAGGAAAACATTTTCTATTAGACTTTTGCTTTCCATTGTACCAAAACTCAGAAAGTGCAGAAAACATTTTCCACCCAAAGAAAAAATACAGTGTAAGAGCAGAAGTAGCAAAAGCTCACACAATATTAAAAAAAAACTCTTTTTTTATGTTGATAAAACTTGTGAAAACCTGCTTGGAAGACTCGAGCAATTATTTCTTCCAAGTTTTGTTCCAAGCTAATTTTCTATGGCCAAAAAAAAAAATCAGAGATGATGGCCAAACATGAAATATAAACTTTGAGGCGTACATACCTCCTTGTCATTCTGATATTTTGCAATACTCAAAGGATTCTGCAAACACTGCAAAAAAATGAGTGTGTAAGAGAGAGCAAAGTTAGAATCAAGTAAGTACATCAATTAATTAGGGCATGGGCATACATCCATGATGGCTGCTTGAACTCTTGGATTTTGAAATGCCATGGCAACTTCGGGATTGGCCATAATTTTTTATATAACTTCTTCAGGAGTAAGCCCAATTTGATCTGCAAAACACAAAATAAATTTAGTACTGAATCATGACAACAAGAGCAAGATTGTGAAATACAAGTAATATTTGATCTGCAAAACATAAAATGTAACAATAAAATAAATTCAGTGGGATTTGTAGACTAAGAAGCATAACCATTGAAGGAATGAAATTAAACATACACACATGGGTACAGGTATATGTGAGTATGAAATCTATGAAAATATACATAAATATATATAATCATTGTGTGTGTATATATAATTTGCAAGAAACTAATCAAGCACTCACTATGCATTGTAAAATTGGAATAAAAAAAAAAGGGGAATGGGTAACATGAATAAAAAGGATAAGATGGCTAAAGAAATGGGTCGGCCAATAACTTCCCAACTCAGAGAAATTCCTCTCCAGAGAAATTTCATTCAGAGAAATTCTGGACTTCCTAAAGAATATCTCTGGATTCAACCCAGAGAAAATTTCTCTGGGTTCATTTTGACCAATTTTCTCTGGGTTCAAATTCAAATTCAAATTTCTTTGGGTTCATTTATAAACCAGAAAAAATTCAAATTTATCTGGATTCATTAACCAATTTTCTCTAGATCACATTATTATTTTATGAAATCATTTTGACCAATTTTCTCTGTATTCAAATTCAAATTTCTTTGTGTTCAAATTCAAATTCAAATATTGTGAATCTATTTCATTATCAAAAATAGAAGAGGAAACTTAGACCAATTTCTCTGGGTTCAAATTCAAATTCTTCCTCCAGAGAAATTCTTTGATAGCCTTCATCATCATCATCATCTTCTTTCTATATCAAATAAGTAGTTATAGTAGCACCATGAAAATATATATTCTACCAGGCAACAGTGAGCGGAATCAAAGAACAATTAGCTTGCCAACAAAAGGTTCACCTCAATATTACTAGCTAGCCCATTAGCCAACAACACAAAAACTCCCAAATCTTAGTAATTATCGATTTAAAGGCTTAACAACATAGCCTAGCAAAATGTAAACATAACCATACTTGGAAAACCAAAACTTTTCTAACCTGTAACTCTCTTCAGGTTCACTGATCACCTTCACATCGCACAACGTAGATAGTATATGACTGCTATGGTTGCAATTGTTCCTGTCGACCCTGCAACCATTAGCCAGAGCGACTTCAAACCATTCAATCCCATCTCATCGTCTCCGATGATCGAAGTTGTTGAACAATTCGAGTCGTCAATATGCTTTCGATTCTGAAAACGAGCCTATCCAACTCTACACCCTCGGCTCCTCATGCTGCTTTGCCCATCTCTTCTCTCTAGGGTTTCGGAGAGAGAGAGAGTGCTGCTCTGCAGAAGAGGAGGAGAGACAAAGAGTCAAATTTCTCTGATGTATGTTTAGGACCTTAGACATCAAAAAATAATTTTGTAGATCTCTTCCATTACGAAAAGTGAGAGAGGGAGCCTAGATTAATTTTCCCCAAGTAAAATGCATCTAAGATGGTTAAAAAAAAAAAAGGCTTAAAATTTTGAAAATATTCATTAAAAATAAAAATAAAAATGAAAAACAAAAAACTCAATACTCAATTTTCAAAAAACTGAAACCAAATATACTGATTTCTTTCATATGTGGAATTCATCATGAGAGATGTATGAAAAATAAAGGGCTTGCAAATTTTAACTATGACTAAACATTGTGCTAATTTGGCACAAAACTTAACAATGCTGAAATATAGAACAAGGTAACCGAACTTATTGGTCAGAATCATTTCACCCCACACCTCACTTGTAGGTCAGGGTTCGAATATCCCTACCTCTATGTGGATTATTTTCCTTGTGTTTTTTTATTTTATTTGCTAATAACAGTCCTCTTCAGAGAATAAACGGGATGTCATTGTGATTTCAAAGAAATTCAGGGGTATCAATGTAATTTTTCCAAAAATTTATTATTGAGTTTCCTGAACTCAAGCTTGTTTAATTTCAACGAACCAAGCTTGAGTTAAATTTTCAAGCTTCATAAACAAATGAGTCAAATTCTAAGTTTTGCAAAATTCATCTTGACTCAATTCGTTTACAACCCAACCCAACCCAAAAGGAAAGAAACTTCATATATAAACAAAGGGAAAAATTGACAATTGTGATAAACGGTCAAGACCGATAACATGTTCGTAGTTTCTTTTTTTTTATTTTTTTTTTTTTTTTTTTTTTTTTTTTTTTTTTTTTGCTTGATAGGAAGTGGAATTATTTGAATGCATCAAAAACCTGCATCATTGCTTATATATGGTCTTTGGGCAAGCAATTTGCAAGAAGAAAAAAAAAAAAAAAAAAAAAAAAAGAGATTTGTGGAAACCTTCTCCTCAAGGGGAATGACTTTGCATTGCTTAGGTACAATCAATCGTGCATACAACCTATAGCAAAAGAAAATAACAAACAAAGCCAGAAAATACAACAATGATGCTAACAATTCTTTTCTGAGCCAAGCAGCATTTTAATTTTGCTCAAATATCATATCTATCCACCGCTGGCCCTCACTAATTTTTCAATTGCTTTTTGGGTAATGTCATAAATTTGTCTCGTCAATTTGTATGGTGTTCTGTTACACGACACTTGCCTCGGCCAGCTTTCCCTGCTCCCGGGCAACAAGCTTCTCATAATCCTGCATAGTTCAATACAGAAGCAGTGAATTAGTGCACAAAAACCGTAACACCTCCTCTTTTTCTTTTTTTAATTTTCTTTTTTATTTTGTTGTTCAACTTGTATTTATAAACATAGTCAATAAAAAAAGAGTTCACCAAATCAAGAAATATCTCATATTCAAGTCCTATAAGAAAATTACCTGTACAATAGCTTGTGCACAAAGCTTTCCTGAAAGAACAGCACCTTCCATTGAAGCCAAATATTTTTGCTTTGTGTAGTCACCAGACAAATAGAACCCTTCTACAGGGGATCTTTGCAATGGACGACAAGGTTCACAGTTCGGGACAGTTTTATAAACAGACCTAAACAGAGAAATCAACTCTGTTTCATAAGTAAATAAACAGAGGGCCTGTTTGGTGCAACTTCTAGCAAGCTGAAAGCTGATAATAAAAAAACAGAAGCTAAAAGCTAAAAAACACAAACTATAAGGAGGACCCTAAGCTATGGCAAACAGCCCCAAAGTGCAGCATCGCAGCATATGGTGTAGGTATCAAAAGAAATCATAAAGCCATATTGGTGTAGGTCATAAAGCCATATTGGTGTAGTCTATTTATATCTAAAGTGTAATGCAGTTTATTAAAGCAACATAGATATCCTTTATATCAGTAAGAAATCTCCTAAACTGAAAATTAAAGACTGCTGTATAGAATATTTTTTTGACAGCACGGGAAGCCCAGTGTAGTATGTCATTTTCGTGTGACTAGCTGCCACAATATGAACAAGAATAAACCAGCTATCTACGTGTCAAGGACTTGAGAGAGAATGTTTTTACTTGCAATAACTATTACTCATAATTTGCATATATGTCCATTAAAAGTGAAGATCGTAAAGAAGTGGGGTTCTATGTCTAACCTTGGTGTTTTAACAACATGGTACTTCAATATTTTTGCTTTGCTCTGATCTGCAGAAATTTCATCAGGAAAGAGTTTTGCCAGTTCCTTCATCGTAGCATCAATAATTTCTTCATCACTACATGAGATCCATTCCTCTGCAGGTGCGAAAACCAATTCCAGCATAGAGCGATTTGGGTCGTAATATTCCTGCATCATTACAAGCAATAAATTAGATACATTTATGGGGCTCAACTAAGCAACATGGATACTTCTAAAAAAGTAACATGCCATGTCCGACACTGTGTCACACACTGACACGACAAGGCACTCATCAAACACTTCCCAACACTTAGAGATACATGAAACACATTACAAGTTTAAATAAAATGAGTTGAAATCCATAGATAAAACAAAAACAATTTAAATTTATATCTATTATTTTCCTTTAGATTTTAAAAATTATTATGTTTGAGTTTGACTTCATATTCATATATATGACATGTAATATAATACATATATAAAATTATGTATTTTGCACGTGTCCCCCATATGTTGTGTCTTACATTTTTTTTTTTTTTTATAATTTCTATATCAGCATGTCAATGCCCTGTCACATGTCCATGTCAGTGCTTCTTAGGGGCAAAATGAAGGCTAATGACTTCTATGTCTGCACCAGATATGCATAGATAAGAAAAATGGACAGACTAATATTGTTAATTCATGGAAACCAAAGAGGGCACAAGTACTTGACTTTACCAGCAGTATTTTGAAAATTATATTTTAAATATTGTGAAATTTTGAATATAATCCATCCCCCTGATTCTATATGTAGCGTAAAAACACAACTGTCTATTTGTACATAAGCCAATAAGCAAGTGCCCGTCATTAGCCTCATCAAATCCTAAAAAGTTCACTCCATTGCTAAATCAACAGCATAACATTAAGGACACGATACAACTTCAAACGGCCAAAATGTGATGTGGCCTTTCATATCAGTAACACATGGAAGCTATGAAAAAACCATAAAAATGGGTTGGGTGCATCTAACGTGCCAACTCAAATTGGCATTCTTGTGGCTGGAAGTACAGAAATCGCAGGTATTTTAAAATTTTGATTAACAACAATTACCTTACATGCCACTGACATGTCAGCATACACACTGAGAAGAGGACTTCTGCATTAAGATAAATTAATCAATTAATATCTATTTTTTTAAAATACAAACATTAATAAAATTGCAATAACTTATACGCAATGGAAAGTGGAAGCTGAAGAAGCACTCTGCAATACTGAACAAGTCGAGATAAAAATCACAAAATTGGACACACTGATGGTCTAATTCAGTCCCAGGGAAAAGTGGTACATCTTCAGTAATCCTTCAAACCAAAGCTTAAAAAAACAAAAAAAAACATAAATGTGTGTGTGTGTGTGAGAGAGAGAGAGAGAGAGAGAGAGAGGGGGGGATCCTGGGAGATAATCCTCTTGACACTACGTCAATATTCTTTGAGGAAAGCATCCAATCAATGGGCCAGTCTCAGTATATTAGAAGAACGTGTTTCATGAAATTCAAACAATGTTGCAGTAAAATGCACAAAACCACTCAGAATAGTAACAACAGACAATTACCAGACACACATAACTACGAGACACATAGGTTGTGGAAACAAAAGAAAGGTATGTCTCTTAACCAGAATTTTAATAAAAATAACAAGAAGAAATTGATGTCATATGGTTGAAAATGACCTGCTAAAAAGTAGATGATCATAAGTATTCCTTAGCTTCCTGTCAAACCTGCAATTGAAGTGAACTTATGTCAGCAACCAAGGGGCTAGCATGTCAGCACATCAAGCTACGCAGCCCCAAACAACTGTGTATCATGTGAGAGGAAAATTAACCTATTTTCTTTTTTATATCTTAAATTTTCTAGGTCACACCAGTTGAACAAAGAAATCCAAGCTGTGTGTCAGTATGGACCACATATAATCCTAATTTTGCAGAGATAGGGACCATATACTTCTCAAGCACAAAAAATGCAAAATGAAAAGAATAAATAAGTTTCTGTTAGAATTTACCATCACCTACCACCACTACCACCTCACCTACTCCACTAAACCTAACCCACTACACCACTACCACCATCCACTACACCTACATCTATATAAGGAACCATTTGTAATAGACAGAATATGAATCAAGATATCAATCAATAATACAATCATTTCTCTTTATACATTAAATTTCTACAGTTTCTATTGCGTATTTTTCATAGCAATCAAACAGAAAGAACCGTACTAACCATATGTGAACATTTATAACAGGAACTCCAACTAATATCTCCAATTTTCTGAAGTACGGAATCTCTTTCCAGTCTTCAGGCAAAAGAAGCTTCAAGATATCAACTGGTCATAATGAAATTCATCAACAACATTAGACACTTATGGTCCATTTAGATGTATGTAGATTTCAAATCAAGGGATTTGAGGTTAAAAAAACAGGAGAGTTAACTATTATAGGTGGAGTAAAAAACTATACAAGAAGATAAAATAAGACAGAAGAGAAGTATTTTAGTAAAATCTTTGTAGCTAGAAGAGAATTCTTAGCATGATTTCAAATAACTACTTTTATATAGTTATTTCAAATTCATCATGATAAATCTATTTAATTTAATCTTGGAATTCATAAATAAACTATGAAATATAAATTTGTGTTATTCTCCTTGAATGATTAATGTCAAATCCATGCATTTCAAATTCACATCTATCCAAGCAGACCCTTGGGTTACAAATATGGGGAATTATTTAGTTAATGGAGAAGAAAATGGTATACCTGGAGTAGCAAAAACATAAGCATCTCCTTCAATAGCATTACCATTATTTAGTAAAAAGCTCTTTACAGTTCCATCTTTATTCAGCTCAATCTTTTTAATTCGAGAATTAAGTTGGACTTCACCACCCAGTGACTGAATATGATCAACAATTGGCTGGCAAAGTCTCTCTGGGGGGTTACCATCCAAGAATGCCATCTTCGAACCATGCTTCTCCTGTTTATAATTAAATATTTAAATTAGCTAGCGTCTATTAGATCAACCATTGTCCCAAAAAGTTTAAGTTGTTAGGAAATGGGTCTAACAATAAATATCAAGCTATCTAACACCTTCCTTCGCGTGCAACCTTGTCTTGCACATAGAGATGCAAACAAGAACAAAAGTAAACATAGACACTTCAACCCAAGACCTTCCCGAACCTTAGGTCTAATATCATGTTAGATCACCAATTTTCCCAAAAACATAACCTGTTACGAAATCGGCCCAACTACGTATATCAAGCTATCCAACAATGTCACGAAAGAGAAACATGTTTCATGTCATTCCTATATAAAATTTGGGACATACATATCTAAAAATAACACCACCTTAAAACCTGGGTAAAAGGGAAGGGAAATTTTTTTTAAAATTATTCACTTTAAGTTTCTTGTAAACTGTATAACATCTAGCATTTCAACAGACAAAAACAAATAAAATTAAGATTTTGGTCTCACTTTGACTTCAACAAATCCCAGAGATCTAAGAATGACATCTCAGTTCAACATCTTAGGGCTGCATTTATTAATTTTGTAATTCAAATACCATAGGTACAGCTATAGAGTTTGATAAGAATTTCCTAGTTACCAGCTGAAGTACTCTTTGTATCTTGGTTTTAAGAAAGAAGAAAAAAGAAAGAAAGAAAGAAACAAGGAAACAACAGTAGCATATACAATGAAAAATTATAAATGATCTCCCACTATGGCCATGCCTGTCTTGGTGTGTACAAGAAGAAAATGTGAGCTTTCCAGGAGAAAAGGAAAAGTGCAAGAAACATGGTCTCAGAATAATATATTTTGTTAGAAATACTCTGTCAGAAATACTTTAAATAACTATAATACCAGTTCTATTCACATGATAGAAATGAAATATAAATCATCAGTTCGAAAAATATTTTCAAACCTGAAGAAACCGGTTCAGAGCAATCAAAATACACTGCATTGAAAGTTCATCAGGGTTTATGAAGTTTAACGCTTTTGACATGGCAATAAACACCTCGGTAGTTACTCGATCTGGTATACCCTAAAAGGATGGGGAAAAAAATAGAAAACATTAGTTACTTGCACAGTTTGTTTGAGAAGAAAAACACAGGCACAGACCCAACACACACACACACAAAACTACCATACTTGCTTCCTCATCCAGTCTTTAACACTTAAACCATCTTGAGCTTCAACATAGGCCTGTCCACCTAGAATTGCTGGAATGAGTCCAATTGCAAACTTGATTTTCTCAGGCCAAGTAAGCATTTCATTGTTCTTTAATATGGCCCATATCCCTACCATAGCACATTTATAAGATATACAGTAAAATTACAGAGCAACATCAAACACAGACAGGCAAAATAAATAGAATGTTGACATACAAGCAAAACACATACAATCTGAATTTGCAAACCTTGCAAGTTAACTAACAGTCATGCTTTTGTTCTAAACTTAGGTAAATGCCAAAAAGTTCAATTTATTTCCAGGACAATTAGTATTAATGACTAAACGAATTACAGAAAATTTAACAAAGAAAGCTAATAATTATGATGAGCATCATTGGGCAGTCAATCACCAAAAGAGAAGTTCTACGTAAAATAAGGAAATACAAAAGATACATAATAATTAGATTCAGTAGACCTAAGTATATGATATTGTAAAAATGTACGGAACATGAAACAAAATCTTACAATAATTGAGTCCACAAAATGAGTATTTTTCCAAGCCTATCAAAGCCATGTATGTAGTTAAAAAGAGGTTATCTATTTCTTCCCAACTCCATTATTGTTCATCTTAATTAGTACATAAAGCTTAATTTAACAATATGAACCATCAATCATCATCTTGAACTTGAACATAAGCTCTAGTCTATTATGTCAATATATAACTAAAGTATTTTTTTTTTTTTTTTTTCTAAATAGCATCTGAACTAAGTATTTCATTTTACTTTTAGATACAAACTGTTTATTAATGAGATAATGAAGTAAAATGAAAGAGGGAGTGTGGATCTCCTCTGAAAAAAGAAGACCAAAAACCACAAATAGAAGACCTCTAAAATCTACACTAGAAAGACCAAATGTAATGATATCCCCACAAAATTTCTACCACTAGGAATTCTGCTTCATGATCTGCTATATCCAACTAAAGAACCCCTTCAAATGGAGGCAAAATCTTGAAGTTCATGATTCAAGAACATGAATCTTCACTGTTTCCACATCCCACATTTAGCCCAAGAAATCACAGCCTCGAAGTCACCTTAAGATCATGCAAATCATGAGACTATCATTGTGTATCTTCTTCCTCTAGAAATGGAATGCACAGCAATTACATAAAAAATCGCCAATTCCCCTCTGACAGTGATTTTGGAAGGAGCAGCTATCAAAGTTTAGCTGAGAAGGGTTATAGACAATGGAAAATAATATAAGGTATATGATCCCATAACCAGAACCACCACCCAATAGTACGTTGCTGCCAGAACCTGAACCCAGTTTTGCTCAGAAGTTATCAGTCAAGTGGTCCTAGCATTTACCAAGTTCCAATTTCATTATTCTCTTTGGAGCTCTTAGTTGTAAAAAACAAATGGCATTTAGGCAGTCAAAACGTTATAATGATGGGGATGATTTACGTACCATTTAATGGTGCAGGTAGAACTTCAGGGAAGTCAAATCGGCTGAACTCCCCTGGCTTGTTTGGCATTGCAAATATCATAGAATGCTCTTTCCACTGCAATCGATCATTTATACCAAGTTCTCCAAACAGGTTCTGCACATTTGGGTAAGCCCCAACTTCAAGCAAAGAAACAAGCAACGGATATATAATTATGTAAGCCTCAAGGAAAAGATGATTCCAGGATAGAATACAAAAATATGCAATTTAGACAAGACTGACAAGGAAGACAACAAAGCTAGTTGGTCAATTAAATTTGTAGAAAGTTTCTGCATGGAAAAACAACAGAAAATACAAGGTGCAATAGGATGTCATGACAAATATATGCAGAAAATTTATGACATGGAAGCATTAGGACAAGACTTTCAATAATAAATCCATCCTAGAGAAAGATGCCAAACATGATGAAAATTAAAATCATAGACCGTGAAAATATAAATAAACTTACAAAATATATGTAAGCCAGTCTCATACCAGTCTCCATCATCATCTTTCCACGCAGCCACCTGTACGAATAAAGACTGATCTTTACCACATTACATTCCAGTTACTGTAGTTAAAATTCGAGTATGAAGCTACTTTATTATATAGTCAACCTTGTAACTTCTGGGTGCAACTGAGCAAATACGTATCACAATGATGTGATTCGGAATCAAATTATTGTTGCTATTTTATAATCTAGCCTATATAACTCCTCACTCAAACCCTATAAAACGCTACCATTACTCACATACAAAAACACACACACAAGCAAATCCAAACTTAAATTTAGGAAAAGCCTTTATTTGAAGCCCAACTTTTCTAAATGGCCAGTTAAAGATTGTAAAACAAAAAATAAATACAAACCAAAACAGAAAGCATTGAATTATCCTCCAAGAGAGTTCTGGAACCAAGATGGGCCTCTCCTCAACCGAAAAAAAAAAAAAGGTTGCCATGAAGAAATGGATATCTCTGCAGGTTCATCATTCATCATCAATGGTGAATGATGATTCCATTTGCAACACGTTTTCCATAATATTTTATTGAACCAAAAGTGAGAATAGACATTTTGATGGAATGATCATTCCATTCCATCTTCATTCCAACAAACCAAACACTACTTTAAAGTAAACAACAAATCATCTTTTCCAAACACTGAGAGATCAAGAAACAACAAAAGGATCCAAATTTTATATGGTGTAACAAGAACAAAAAGACAATCAAAGAACAAGACAGGCAGCCGCTATGTCTTTTCTTGATAAAAGGACAAAAATAGAGCATCTCACAAACCTTTCCACCTAAAACATCCCTTGCTTCCAATAATACAGGTTTGTGACCTGCATCTGCCAAATATTTTGCAGTAGACAAACCAGCCAAACCTGAAAGGGTGTGAAAAATGGTAAATTGGCATCACAAGAGAAGAAGACATATTTAAATAAATATTCTTCAAACAAATGTACAATATCTGATCGACTTAGCACATCATTAAGCCTTCACCTCTATAAGTTAAAACCTTGAAGTTGAATGTTTGGGACAGAGACATTTATTTACATAGAACATATATTTGATGGACTAAAGTTTTTAAAAGCTATTTATTATTCAAATTCCATAACCTATGTTCACTCAAATATGAATCTCAACCTGACACAAACACAAGCTCCTACATTTATATATATATATATTTATGGTTAAAGCACAAGAGCTGAAAAGAGCTCTCCAGGATTCAAATTCAATCACTTACATTCCAATTCTACACCCATTAGTAAAATTAAAACTAGTTTAGACCACAATAACCAACTTAAATAGGAAGTTTGTAAAACATACAAAAAGGAAAGTTTTGATAAAGATAGAACAAGATTATTTTACCTGCACCAGCAATAACAACCTTCAATGGTTTATCTGGACGGCGGGAAGTACGAAAGGTTGAAGATAAGTAGGCAGCTTCCAAAAAATTGACAGTACTCTCAAGGTCTGGTCTTGGATAGTCAATGCAAACGACCTTCAAGTTAAAGAAATAACTAATTGCTGAACAAAATAAAAATAATTTTTGAAAACTAAACCATCCTATTAAATTTATAAAGCATACCTTCAAAGGGCACACGTCCTTCCTTGGTCTGGTTCCAACAGCATATGCATTAGGAATTTTGAACCTATGACCCATGGAATCACTCCCTCGAAATGATAGTGCTTTGGCTGGCCCTGAACCAAAGGAACAACCACACCCCCAAGTAGATTTTGGGTTCCAAACACTTATTCCATTGTTTTGCCCACTCACACTGACGGTGGAAACTTGTCCAAATTGAGACATTTTACCGAACCCAATATGGAACTCAGATTGTGGACAAACTTTTAGGGATGGAATTCAATAACTACAATAATAGTGTCCCTGCCATCACAAGATATTTAATAACGTAGACAAAATCAGCAATCAAATCTTCCATAAAAAGAGCTTTTGCCGTTACTAAGAATTTGAATAATTAGTGCTAAGAAAGTTCTTTAAGTACAACAAAACTAGCCATGTCACACCTGAATTTCTAAACCTGGCGAAATGAACTAACTGAAAACAAACAGGCAACGGTCAATCCAATTAAGAAAGACTAAAATATAGGTGAGGCTTCAACAACCCAAACAGTGGGTAAAGGAATCCTTCCCGGTTTCAAGGTCTAAAACTCATTCCTTTTTATCCTAATTTTATATCCATTTTATGGGGAAACTTCAACTTCAAAATATCATAAAGCTATGTTTGTTAAGAGTCAAAAAGATTTTTATAACAAGATTGTCCAGTCGGTGTTTTCAAAAGTGAAAGGCACTGACACTCAAAGCTCTCCTATTGCCTAAGCACAAGGCACACACCTCATCAAAGCAAGGTGCAACTTCTAGGGGGAAAAAAAGTAAATTTGTAATATAGACAAATTTTTAAACATATAGGCATCTCCAACCCTTACCCAAATTATGACTCAAACTAAAATTTGAGTAAAAAGCCACTAAAACCCCATCCACTCCTTCACTCAAACCTATACCAGATTGAGTTTTACTCAAATTTCAACTCAAATGAAAAGAGACCCATTTCGTTTACTAAAATTTCTATCCAAATCAAAACTTGACATATGTCCTTCTATACAAATTTTCCAAATTCTCCTTTTATTCCAAATTCCCCTTTTATCCCAACTCCTAGCATCCACACTTGACAGTTTCACTCAAATTTGAGTTTATCCATTGGAATATTTCATATCAAAGGAAGCATATTACTCAAATTTCTACTCAATTTTGAGTAAAAGTATAGGTAAGGATTGGAAACGGACTAAGCAAATATTTATAGAATTTCAAACACCAAAAAACAGAGCATCCAACATTAAAATACTAACATTAAACAAAAAAAAATATAATATGAACATCCAAATATCCAAAACAACAAAAAAAAAAAAAACAGCAAGGCAGTAAAGTGAAGAGGAGGAAAAGCTTTGACCTGGTCTGGTAAAATAAGCAGAAGCAGAGAGAGAAGAAGCAGAAACAGAGGGAGATAGAGAGACAGAGTGAGAAGAAGAAGAAGAAGCAGAGGAAGAGAGAGCAGATTCTCCGCTGTGGTTGTGGAGCATCTCCAGGGCCTTCTTTTTTGTCTTCAAATTGGGTGCTAATTTGTTAATTTACTAGTGGAGTTTTGTACTATCTGTCTATCTATCTATATCCTATTCTATTTTCAGAATTTACTTTTCTTGAAAATTTTATTTTTTAATTTTTTATATTTTTTTGTTTTTTACTGAATTTGTTTAATATTTTAAAGGTTTGTATTTTGGGATAAATTTTCAAAAATTTTTTTAGAGAGAGAGTTTAGAATTTTTTTTTGATTTTTTGATTGTATATTTTAAAAATAATTTTGTAGTTGAGTAGATGTGTGTGAGAGAAAATGTAATTGAGAAGAAGAGAAAAGAGAGAAAAAATGATTAATTTATGGTAAGAGAGAAAAAGTGATTTTAATTTTTTTTTAAAAAGTTTAAACCAAACAAAATTTTAAAAATTTTTATCAAAAATTACGTCTCAAGATATAATCCAAACAAGCTCAATATCTTGAAACTTGCTGAGCTCTTTGTGGAATGTCAACTAACATGAGGAGGAGAGCACTTGAACATCAAAAAATTTAAACCAAATAAAATTTTAAAATTTTTTATCAAAAATTATATTTTAAGGTATAAACCAAACAAGCTCAATATGCTGAAGGAAAATGTATCGTACTTCAAATTTTGTGGCTCAAAAGTGGCTCAAATGGCCAAAACGACGTCGTTTTGAGTACAGAACAACATAAAAATGGCCAAAATGACGTCGTTTTGGCCATTTGAGCCACTTTTGAGCCACAAAATTTGAAGTACGATACATTTTCCTTCAGCATATTGAGCTTGTTTGGTTTATACCTTAAAATATAATTTTTGATAAAAAATTTTAAAATTTTATTTGGTTTAAATTTTTTGATGTTCAAGTGCTCTCCTCCTCATGTTAGTTGACATTCCACAAAGAGCTCAGCAAGTTTCAAGATATTGAGCTTGTTTGGATTATATCTTGAGACGTAATTTTTGATAAAAATTTTTAAAATTTTGTTTGGTTTAAACTTTTTAAAAAAAAATTAAAATCACTTTTTCTCTCTTACCATAAATTAATCATTTTTTCTCTCTTTTCTCTTCTTCTCAATTACATTTTCTCTCACACACATCTACTCAACTACAAAATTATTTTTAAAATATACAATCAAAAAATCAAAAAAAAATTCTAAACTCTCTCTCTAAAAAAATTTTTGAAAATTTATCCCAAAATACAAACCAAACACATTTCATTAATGAATTTTTTTTTACTTAGTGCTTGTTTGGTATGTGTTAAAATAGCACATTATCTTATTTGAGTCGCAATCATCTTATTTGAGTGATATCACCTCTCTACCACATCACTTCAAACTCAACTTATATTTAACGTTTTTTTCATAAAAATTAAAAATTATACTAATGTAGCACTTCTCAAACAACCCTTTAGACAATATATATTATTAAATTTTTATCTTTATTTTTTTTTATTTATATAAATTTTACATGTATTGCATATATCACGCCGCTAGTTTATATAGTAGATGTTTAGGAAGTTGCTATTTTAATTTTTGGTTATTTTAATAGATTAAAATTTTTATGTTTGGGAAAATAGTTGAATTTTTTTATGGTTAGATATGATATTTGTGAGATAAAAAGTGAAATAATTATGAGTTTGATGTAATATTTTATTTTATTAACTACTTTAACTTTTTCTTTTTCTTTTTCTTTTTTGTAAATTTTAACCCAAAAAAATCAGAAAAATAGCCTTTTGTCAAACACCCCTCTAAACGCATCATACATGAGTCGAAAACTTCTAACCAAAATTAGGGTGGATTTGCAACTGCCAAACAAAATTAAGACCAATAACACGTGTCCGGAGCTACGCTGGTTTCACCGTGTCAATTGAGATCGGTAAACTTCTAAATATTTTTACAAAAAATGTTAAAAAATTTAAAAGTTTTATAAAAAAATTTATGAAAGGTTTTATATAGGCGAGAGATTTACATGAGACTTATATAATATGAGTTACACATTTATATAAAATATTTGATAAAAATTTTAGTAAAACTTTTAAAATCTCTAACATTACTCATATTTTTATATAAAAAACTTGGTGGCAGGTAATCCAGGGTAAGATTATATAAAATACTGTTCAATATGTAAAAATTGCATCGATTTGTGTCAATTTGTGTCATTCTATCAGTTAATTGCAGATTGAAATTTAAAATTTATAATTCGTCTTTGAATCCGTTCTGCTCTGCTGTAGTTAGTACATATATATTTTTAACTTCTAATGAAATATCAAAGTAAAAATGAGTGTGAAAAAAGATTTGAGATGTGAAATTTGTAACAAATTTATAGTTATATATATACATATATAATATTATGTAAATTTTGTTTGTGTTATATAAAAAATATTATGCAAATTAATATTATATATTATGTAAATACTTGATAATTGATTAGAATATTTTTCAATCCGTCAATTCACTCAAAACTGCCCAAACTACGATTTGTCAATCGACCAATCTATCAATCCGCCATTCATTTATAGGTTAAATCCGCCATTTGTTTATAGTTTTATTCTCAAACTGTTTGAAGCATATTGCGTATACTTCTACTCTGAGGTTCAAAATCTAGCACAACAATGTCTCAGTTAGTGGGGTTTATTTTGAGTTTTATTTTAATAATTTAAGTTTTTTGTTTTATAAATTTTTTTATGTATATTATTTTTAAATAATCGTAACATATTTAATTTATCGTAACATATTTAACCACGTTATAATAACATATATTCGATAATCGTAACATATTTAATTTATCACATTTTTTTAATCATGGCATGTGACCTACAATTTCATGATTTACTTACGATTGGAGGATGGATGGGGTATATATGATACATTTTGATAATTAATGAAACTTAATTATACTTTTTTTAGTTTAAAGAGTCAAAATAATATTTGACAATAATTTAGAAGGTCATCGAAAAAACAAATATATACATATGAATTTTAATATGAATAGATACTGATGGACCCAAGGGTAAAATTGATAATTTAGTAATGAGTTAAGCAGCCCTCCATTGAGAGAAATTCTATTTTCACACATTTAATTATCTTAATGCACATCTTCTCTCAGTACACACACTTATTAATTTGATTATTAATTAATTTTCTTAATCTACATACTAAAAGTTACAATTATACCCTTCAATAATAACTATTGTACACACACCACTCATTCCTCTTTTTCCACGCACTTGTTGAGTGACCCTGTTTTCAGATTTGTAGACCCATTGTAGAACCACATGAAGACTATTCAAGACTATAATGTAAAGTGAAGTGAAGTGAAGTGAAATGAATTGAAGACAAAATCCTCAGTTGAAGACCCTATTGAACCTCCATTGAAAATATCATTGAAAACCCTCCAAAATATTGTCGAAGATGAGACATCTTTCCATTTTGTTATTATATTTATCATTTCCAGATCTTTGTGCGCTTCATTGCCATAAAACCCTAGGTTTTGTACGAAGGCCAAATATCCGACGTTATCCGTATTCCCTGCGTCCAAGCTGCGCTTCACTACGATCGACCTGAGAGCACAATGAAAGTGAGCTACCCAGCAGTGTGCTGTCGAAAAATCCCTCCGACAATCAAGTTAACACATTGAGAGAGAGAGAGAGAGAAAGAGAGAAGACAAGGTGGTAGATGAGTTCTCATCAGAGGATGTTCCAGACCTAAGTATGGAGGCACAACACTATTTATATAGTTTCTGCACACACTTCTGCGTCCATTCCCCTCTGGACGCGTGGACCTGCTCTCTCTCATGTTTCCCCACGTATTAGCACCAATACAGCTAAACACCACCTAATAAAACCGCCAAACGGTATTGACGCGTACAGACAGCGAAATCTCATTCCTGCAATCTCGTGGCGTCGCATAGTACTCCCCACTGAGTTACGCTTAGCATGGCGCCACACGTCACCTCACGACCGTGCTACCTATTCGGTTTCCTTGATAATTCCACACCGTGGCTTAGCCGAGCTTCCTCAGTTATGACTAAGCTCCTGTTCGGTCGATCTGATCTTCAGAGACCTAAACCCGTCTAACTCAGCAAAGCGCATATCTTCACCGGGCTAGCGGTCTGAGGTTACTCTTACTTGACCGGACCAAGGTCTCACCCAGCACGCACACAATGTCCGCATGAACTTAGCTCGGCCCAATTTAGCTCGATCCAATGTTAATTTATGAATTTCCCTCTTAATTACCCCTTAATCCCGTCCACGTCAGCGTGACCGGGATTACCTTCTCCAGGCGAGGTTACTCATCTGCTCAGTCATCACCCTCAAATCATTCGCCATGCTAACTTTCTCGCTTGGCCCCATGACTTGCTCGGTCGGCATTTTAACTTTTTAGCCTGTCTTATCAAGATTGACACAGGTCTTATCAGACACGTGTCCTCTGTCCATTGGCCTCATACAACCAACCCAGCTGTCCAGCGCCGTCTCTTCGAATTCAAATTTTTTACGGCCCTTCTCATTCAATAAATATTGACACGCCTCTTCAATTCCCTATATCCATTGTTCATCATCTTCTCCAGCGGTAATCTGCCGATCCTGAGAGCCCAAGCCCCATTTTCTGTGTTCGTCATCTCTATCAAAGCATCTGTTTTCCATCGCCGTCGCCCCTGCAATGCCCTCCGTCAACTGGAACGTTGTTTACACCTTCAATTTGGTGAGTTTTTAACTGTTTTTTTTTTTTTTTGGTGTTTTTCCTGTATTTTCAAACTCCAATCATCACATTCACTCACTGAGGAAAGCAAAAACACCCAAATAATAACACGAATGGAATAGGGTTAGGTTTTCGCATTGTTTTCGACATCCCAAAGCTTATATGCCCCTAGTTTCCCGCTGTTCATCATCTCTTGTGATAAACAAATGTGGATTTGGGCTCGGCCGGGCTTGAAGCACCTTTTTTATCTGAAAGAATTAGTAAACCAGGCAAATTAGTTGTTTGTGGAGTTGGGACAGAAAAGCGGGGTACTCAATACTCGGGTCGTGTAACCAGGCTAATATCTAACTTGCTTGAACGACCGAGCTCAGCAAA